CCAAATTTTAGCATGTAAATACATATTAGATTTGGGCTTATCCCAAATATAAATAATATATTATCCATACATATTAAATAAATATACTCAATATCAGTATCTGCACAGCATAGAGTTATCCGAATTGCTAATTATATACATAAACTTCTCACTATCGCTATTGAAATTAAAACTTTCCAAGTAATACAAGGTGAATATATCCAATTCAACCTTTAATCGGTATCATGTGTATGCCCATCTAATCAAGAATATTATGTATCATATAAAATCTAAACTTATGATAAACCCGGTATTTAAATCTTCCTGATTAAATAATGTTTAATGATCATAATTGGGTAAAATCGTTCGATTTACCTAAATAATGATCAATTCGTAATACATACAAAAGTTTTTTTTGAATCCCGATTACTTTAAGAACGCATTTAATGTACACTTTTTTTAACAACATTTTTATTATTCGCAGCTTTGTCTTCTAAGCTTTTTTTATTAATGTTACAGTATTTCATGCTTATATGGTATTTTAAAAGCATACCATACCGATCACGTTATCAATATTGTGAAATTTGTGGATCAAAAGAAGAAATCACTACTATGATCTGCCGTCATGACGTTCAAAATGAAGAATAACATCCATATTTTCCACCACATGAACAAAATTAGTATAAATTTGTAAATTCTGAAGCTAGAGACTAAAGCAAATATATTTAGTCAAACTAGAACGATATTAAAAGAGAAGTATTTAGAATTTAGTAAAATCATAATGAATATAGGTGATTATAATCTTGAACTCACAGAACTCACAAAACTTCACAAAAAAATTTTTTTTGTATCAGAATTGGACAATATTAATACCCAGGTAAATGAAAAACAGCGATAATATATATAATTTTATCAAGTATAATACTATAAATATAAATGACAATAAAATAAAACAAAATAATAAAATAATAATTTCCTATAAAAATATCGTAGCTAATATATTTATCTAAACCGACTAAAGATCTACCGTATTCATTTCTTCATCAATAAAAGAAGGATTATTATTCACTTCGAATATTTGGTCTGATAGATCAACTAAACTTTGAAGTGCCATTGTAATATCACTTTCAGCAGAGCTTACGATTTCTACTTCCTCTTCATTTTTCTCAATTGAATTAGGATAATCAATTTCTGAAATAACCGTTTCACTTAATGTACTATTACGCAACTCAGTTTCCACAAAATTATCTTTATAAAATTTTAACTCTTTTTTAATATTTGATACATAAAAAGAGTGGATTTGCGCCATACTTTCTAATCGTGAAACTTGAAGCCGCGTACGTCGTCCTTCACTAAACCATTTTAAGATGGAAAAGTTTCGTTCGCAATTGGCCTGGGATGGTACAATAGAGAACATAGTTTGAGCTAGTTCTTGTAAATGGGAATATTCATCCTCAACAACGCCCCACCATAAAGAAGGAATTAAGTTAGAAGAATATTCAAGATTCCAAGGTTCAACTTCTGCTTTATATCTAATTAATTGATCTACTAATTCATTGCACTCTTCTTCTTTATGGAATAAATCTTTATAATAGTTAACTGCCAAATTATGAATATTATGAAAATTTCTGGTTTTAAGACCACGGCTTCGATATTTAGGGTGGAGAAAATAAGCTAGAAGATACGGAGAAATATCAAATTGCTGATAGCGAAAATTGAACGCTGAAATAGCCAAGGTACGAAAATTATTGCTAGTAGGTATTTTTTTAAGCATAGCAGCGATTTGGACAATTCCTAAGAAACAATCCGCCAAACTTGCAGTATTACTTTCAAGTAAATTAATTACTCGCTTAATTGGTTCAAAGACCGAAGCGATTCTTTTGCAAGAAGTATAAAAATTATCATGTATATCGTTTGCAATCTCAAACACTTCTTGATTAGAGAATATATCCGGTTTTTCTTCAAGGATCTAAAAAAAAAAAAAAATTAATATACAATATTGGCCTTAGTATATTAAGTTATATAATTTACAAACCTTCTCAATAGCAGGTCTAACA